GATGATATCCTGATCTATAGTCATTCGGTGGAACAACATTTGGATCATCTGAGACGAGTCTGTGAGATTTTGAGAAAGGAGCAATTGTATGCTAATCCTAAGAAGTGCACGATCCTAATGGATCACGTAACCTTTCTTGGATTTATCATTTCTTCTCAAGGCATAGCCACTGACCCTGAAAAGGTGCGAGCAATCAATGAGTGGCCTGAACCTAAGAACATCAGAGACATTAGGAGTTTTCACAGATTGGACACATTTTACCGAAGATTCATTAGGAGTTTTAGCACCATCGTGGGTCCGATAACTGACTGCTTGAAGAAAGGGGAGTTTCAATGGATGGCATCTGCCTCTAAAGCCTTTGAGCAGATAAAAAGGAAAATGGTTGAAGCACCAGTCATGCGACTACCAGATTTTTCGAAAATTTTTGAAGTAACATGTGATGCATCTGGCATAGGCATAGGAGTACTATCCCAAGAGGGAAACCCGGTTGCCTACTTTAGTGAAAAGTTAAACGATATTAGGCAACGCTACTCCACCTACGATAAAGAATTTTACGCCAACATTCAGTCCCTCAGATACTAGAGACACTACCTGCTTCTCCAAGAATTTGTTATTTTCTCTGACCATGAAGCCCTACGATATATAAACTCCCAAAAGAAATTGAATGCACGTCATGGTCGGTGGGTTGAATTTTTGCAAGAATACACTTACACAATTAGGCACAAAGCGGGTTCTGAGAATAAGGCTACCGATGCGCTTAGCCGTCGGATGATGATTACTCGTGAGATGAGGTCGGAAGTGATAGGTTTCGAGCGACTTAAGGAAGACTATTTAAACTGCCCCGATTTTAGAGAAACCTATTCTGCTTTAGCAACTGGAGGTGAACGGATTATAGATGATTTCATGTTGGAAGATGGGTATTTGTTTAAATCTCGAAAACTTTGTATTCCCAAAACATCTCTTTGCGAATTTCTTGTTTGGGAATTACATGCTGGTGACTTAGCAGGTCACTTCGGTCAAGCCAAAACAATAGTTGCTATTGAAAATCGATTTTATTGGCCGAGTCTTAAGAGAGACGTTAGCAGATTAGTGAAGCGGTGTCACACCTGTTAGTTAGCTAAACAAAGGAGCAGAACACCGGCCTTTACACACTCTTCCCTGTACCTAACCAACCTTAGCAAGATATTAGCATGGATTTCGTTCTAGGACTACCCAAAACCCTCAGGAAGCATGATTCGATATGTGTGGTGGTAGACCGGTTTTCTAAAATGACCCATTTTCTTCCGTGCTCCAAAACTTTTGACACCTCTAGAATCGCCAAGCTGTATTTTGACGAAATTGTAAGGCTTCACGGGTTACCTAAAACCATTGTGTCAGACAGGGATGTGAAATTTAGTAGTTACTTTTGAAATACGTTATGGCACAAAATGGGGACCAAACTACAATTCTCTACTGCTTTTCACCCCCAAACGGATGGTCAAACCGAAGTAGTGAACAGGAGTTTAGGAAATCTTCTAAGGACCTTGGTAGGAGAAAATATCCGGGACTGGGACTCAAAGCTACCTATGGCTGAATTTGCTTACAACAATTCTGTGAACCGAACTACGGATCTAAGTCCTGCTGAAGTCGTGTACGGATACCTACCCAAACAATCCATTGATTTGATCCCCATGAGTCCTAAGGTTAGACCATCTGAGTCTGCATCTGCATTCACATCTCATCTTCAAGAATTGCACAAATAAATAAATAAAAGAATTCAACAAAGCAATGCTCACTATAAGATTGATGCTGATCGTAAGAAAAGATTTAAAGAATTTGAAGTTGGAGATTTTGTTATGGTACGGATTCGTCCGGAGAGGTTTCCCCAAGGAGCCGTTAAAAAGTTGCATGCTAGAAGCGCGGGCCCCTTTAAGATAATCTCGAAAGTAAACAGTAATGCTTATGTGTTAGACCTTCCTGAAGGGTTTAATATGAATCATACGTTTAATGTTGAAGATTAGTAGCATTTGAGGGACCCGAGTTTAACCCTGCTAAGCCTTGTGAGAACCCACCTAGTGAGATTCTCAGCCTACCTCCATTCCCCAATTTACCCCACTTACCCATTGCGGAGGAAGTCGAAGCTATACTTGACGATGAAATCATTTCCACAAAGGAAGGTGGACGCCAAAGGTACTTGGTTCGCTGGAAAGGGAAGCCGGTGATAGAGGACACATGGATTGATCGAGAGGAGCTACAGAGACTAGATCCAAATTTGCTAGAGCTATACGAGAGCGCCTGTAGTACTCACTCGACGGAGTCGAGTTTTCTCCCACCCGGGGAGAATGATGGGGACATCAATACGAGGTTTCGACTCGTCTATCAGAGGCGACACAGGAGATCGATGGTCACGATGGAGAGTCTTTACTTTTAATGCACTTTTTACGTATTAGTCATTATTATTTCTTCAGTTTTCCGTTTTTGCCCTTATGGGTAGTTGGTCACTATTGTAACCCAATGGGGCGTTATTGTCTATTGTTTATTTGTCATTGTGAGGCCTATATATATGGTCATTCTCTTATGTATTGGTTAATTAATTTTTTGAATGAAATTTTATTGTTTGTCTTCTTCTTCATCTTTTGTATGCACTTGAGAGAAGAGACAGAGCCCGAGGTAAGGGCGAGCGCAATACCCACCAGTCATTTGAAGAGTCCATGACTCGTGGTCTACCTCCTCATCCCCGTTCTTCTTTTCTTCCCTCACCCGCTGGCCCTAGTTTTTCCCCAAGCCGCCAGCCATATAGCCTTCCCCTTATCCCTCACATCCTTTCACCCACTAGCTTCCCCTCTACACATCCAACCTCCACCAAAGCCCCAAGACCCGACGGCAAGCTCTCCCCCTCTCCTTGGCCGCCGGCCATCATCCTTGATCCTAGTCGTTATGATGATTTCATTAACACCCCTCCTAACCTATTCTCCTCCTCAAACCCTAGCTGCCTCCCCCATCTCCTCTTGCCGACTCCCCCTCCCGCCCCCTCTCTCTCCACTTTGGCCGCCCCTTTCTTTGCTTCCCATTGGGAAGTTTGAAGTCAAGAGAAGAAGAAGACGACGTCTTCCCTCATCCACTTCAATGACGTATGGCCGATCCCGAGGTTGATCACGGTTTCGCCTACAACGAGCGTGGGGAGATCGATATCTTCCTCTCCCCCTTCTACGAACCGGATTGAGAATACGACATCACCGTTGAATGCTACGTCAACCGGATCGTGTATTGCCTTTCCCAAACAATTGCGTATCAACGACCAAGGACCCCTTGGTCCCTCACCGGAAGATACGTGCCACCTCCACCTCTGGCTACCCCTCCACCACCGTCAACCTTTCCGTGGATTAAGACCATTGGCGTTGCGACCGTCCTCGTGGCATCATTGGGTGTGCTAAAGACCTTACTCCGCTAAGCCATACTTTGAGTGTGAGTGAGCATGGTAACTCATAGTGAACTCTCTAAATATTAACCGTGGGATTGTATTGCAACATATTTGTTTTCTGTGATAATTTCAGATCTATCTTAATTTGTCTTTAGCTTCTGGTTTGTAACTGCTTACTACGACAAGATTGTCGATTGAAAGTTCTCTAATCTAATCTTACGACACCTTAATCTTAAGTAGCAAGTTTTGTAATCATTTTTTTAATATTTTCGTGCAATTCTTGTTGGTATCACATCAGATTCACATCAAAAACCCTAATCCATGCTCATTCTTAGGTCCTTATTAATGGAGAACATGATAAACAATTTAAATGCATTAACAGACTCATACAAGGAGATCATCTCACTTGCCGACTTTTTAATATCATTACTGATGTTCTGTATAAAATTTTTAAGAGTTACAACCTAGGATTGAGGGCATAAAGTACTTTGAGCATATATCAAGAAGTCTCTAATCTCAATTGATTACTCTAAAATTCTTTTGATAAAGGATTTTTCATGGCTAATGCTTTAGGTTGTTCTCTTTAAAGACTTTCTTTAAAATATTTTAGGCTTCCTATGGCCACTAAAGTGTTGCAAAAGACCTTTGGACTTTGATTATTTATAGAAGTAATGAAAAACTTGCTTTCTAGAATGGTAAATGCCTTTCTAAAGTTCTAAGGATTATTTGATTAATTCGATATTATTTTCTATTCGTTTGTACAATTTCATGCTTGATAAAGTCATGAAAAACTTGGTGTGTGGATTACGAATTCAGTCATCAATAAAATTGATATTATAGTATAAAAAGTTTCTTATTGAAGGACAATGGTGAAGATATAGGCTTGTCATTGGTCAACTACAAGAATTTTTATTGGCCAAAGAGGCTTGGCTTCAAAAATCTACATATAACGAATACTTTTCTTACTTTAAATGGACTTGAAAATCTATATAAATTAACTCAATTTTTTATCAAGGAATATCATTCAAAGCAAATATTTGAATAATACTTCTAAAATTGACTTTGGATAGGCAAAGCTCTAAAGAATCACATTTCAAAGGATGTCAAAGAAAAAAACTTCGCAGTCATTTTTCCACTCATTTCATGAGATACTAATAATGGTGCAAAAGCAAAATATTGGAAATATGATAATATGTACCCATGCAAGCAAAGTAGCCGGTCAGATAAAGTCAAATTTAATCATTAAATTAAAAAGAGGCTCACCAAGTGCAATAATTAGCAAGCGAGAGGTAACTCAATTGTGAAGAACCTCAGGAGAAATTACAAACCAATTTGCATAGAAACCACTAACTAGCTATAACATTAAGCAAATTAACCAAGAAACCCTCCATTAGGCAATTTCATGATGTGCTCATTTCTCATTCTTTAACCTAGAGAAGAAAATACTATTGTCATTCCAAGTAATCATTCAAGATGATGTACAACTAGACATCGCATAAAATAAGCATTTATATTGTTTGATAGCCTTAGTGCAGGCATAAGGTTCAGCAGTAGACAAGATCATACATGCATTACTTTAACAACATTATGTAGTGTATACCTCAGAACATCCCCGACTCATTGCTTCAATTCCAACTGACCCGGTTCCACTATACAAGTCTAGCCATCGACCTGATCTTAAAGAAGCAGGACATCCACCAGCTACCTATTGAGAATTAAAATCTGATGATAAACTTCACAAATAAAAAAAGTTATTGTCAATCATTGATATGTTATAATTTTCAATATCTCATCAAGGGCCTATTTGATTGGAGTCAAATGTGTGTGAAATAATATTTACGAGGGAAAAAAAGTACATTAAGTTCACAAGGTTATGGTGCAATTCGAATTCACCAAATTCACCTGCAATATATCAAAAGCAGCTCCCCGTACCACCTCCATCATGGGACGTACATCCATTCCTTTAGGTGAAAGTAATTTTTTCCTACGAGCTTTTCCACCAAGCACCTGTTCCAATAAAATTTGATCTTTGATTACTATAAATAAATAAATAAATAGCAAACACTACGGCAACATTGTACCTGATAAGCAACTGCAACATTGTGAGTTTTGTTCTTGAGAAAGTATATAAAATAGGCATGATTTGTGATAAAACATACCTATATTATATAATTTCATTTATGGTAAGGGACGAAATTAAATAGGCACCTTAATTCAAAGAAATTATTAATGAAGAAAACTCATTAAATCAAAGGAGTGAAATTGATAAAGATTATGATGTAACGATCATGTTTAACATTATTTTACTTTACATCTTATGATAATTTTTTTTTAAATTATTGATGATCTTGGTCAAACATGACAAATAAGAGAGAGCGGATGAGACACTTTGCTCTAAATGATAAAGTTATTTCAGAAAGTGAAATGTACATATTTTGGATAAGAATGTTTGCTAATAGGGAGGTCGAGGATGCTCTTTTCATAGAGAGGACATTGTTACAGTGAAGCATCATTATAAAGTTAATATTCTCATAGCTACTTCAAATTCACGATTGTAAAAATGAACATGCTTAAAGAACAAATTATAGAATTATTGATTTTTGCTTATGCCTTGGATCCTTAAGATAATATCAATCATTCAAAATAGAAGATATTTATCACATTATGGATAAGTCTTCTCTTGAAAACTTCACTTATCAAGAAAAGCTATAATTAAAAATTCTACTTAAGCATTATGATTTATGAAATTGAAGCTCGTCAAAATCAATTTTTTTTAAATCTCTCCATAATATTTTATTTATGTCAAATGGTGGAAAATACAAGAAAACCGATCATATATTCTATTATTCGTCAATTAATTTGATTGGTCTTAACTCTAACTATTTCGACTGAAATAACTAAATGAGCATTTTCAAGAAAGAAGATTATTGAGATAAAGTTACGAAATAAGATGAAAAATGATTTTTCTAGTAAGTTCATCGATAACATATGCTAAGAAGGGTATTGCAATGAGTTTTACGGTTGAATCGAGTTGATCAATGATCATTTTGATGAAATGAAGGATCTTCAATCACAAGTGAAACTGTCTAACTATAGTAGCTAGATTAAAAAAAAAAAATTGCATCAAGGTTGAACTTATTTACAAATCTTTTTGTTTAGGCCTTTTGCTACTTATATTAATTTAAAAGCCAAAATTCTAATTTCAATTTATTTTCACAGGCTTTTTATTTGTCGCCCTTTTCTTTTAATGTGATTTCCTCCATTAATTTTATCTATTTCAAATTCACGGGTATACAACGAAATGATGTCAAAATATAGTTTGAAGAAAATAATACAAATCAACATACGAAGCTTAAAGAATGGAAAACGAGGATTTATAAGGGTTGATAGCTAGGCACTTTGAGACTAGTTTGAAGGTAGCCTTAGAGCAATCATTAGGTTGTTGTCATTGTGATATGAGATCAAAAGTTTCTTCTTCATCATCTTAGCCTTAGCTAAGCTATTTGTATTCAGCTCTATGAGCTTCCATTGTACATGTTTTTTTGTTTAATATATTGTTTGAGGTGTTAAATCTTTTTTTCACAAAATCTTTGTGCATAACTTCCATCCATATTACATTTAGTACACCTCCTCTCCTACTAAAATTTATGGCATTAATTTATACACATATCTATTGAGCATCTTGAACCTTTTATTATGCATGCCTAAACCACATAAACAAAAGTCTATCAAAAAGAGCTCTAAATATTACATAAATAAAAAAGTGACACTGCCAATTTTTGTTTCACAATATATTTATTCCTTCACATATTGCACTTTCCCATCATCAATCCCCCCTTTTTCCCCTCTATATTTGAGCCGTCGTTCCACTGATAGAACAAAATTTAATCTATGGCAACCATTCAATCAAATGACATTGAAAAGTGCATGTTTAAAAGAAAACAAGCTTTCATAAAATTTAAAAGAAATAATTTTGACCAAAAATGAATGAAAACCAAAGGTACGTAAGAAAACCTGCAGTAATTTATGCGTGGTGCGATGGGAGACCTCCGGCGTCTTTCCCCTCCCCTCCTCCGCTCCCCTCCTCCTAGACTGAAATCATCACCAGCTATTTATCAATCTCTCATAACAGAAAACCAAACTAAAATCAAAGCTTGGAATCCCAACCCTTTGATTCGGTTGTGAAATGAAATCATTAGGGTCAAGTCCGTACTTCTCGCGCAATATTTTTCTCTTCTCCTCGCTGGCGGGGGTCCCCTTAGAATCTAAGAAAATGTCAGATCAGATAACATAGAAGAAGCGGAGTGATCGAGTAAACTCACTGAGGTTGGTTGAGGAGCAGACGATGAGGAGAGAGGTTCGGCATCTAGAAGAAGACAAGGGTAATGAAGGAAGAGAAATATTTGCAGGTGCTTTGAGAGAGTGGAGGCGCCGACGAAGAGAAGGAGTAGGAAGCGGAGAAGAATCGATAGAAGCAGAAGCCATTAGAGCCAGTTCTTGGATCCTCGCGTGGGTAGAACCGTAGAACTGAAGCAGGGTACCATCAAGATAAATTTGAGCCCATTATGCTTTATTTTAAAAATATTAATATTAATTATATTTAAGATATATCAAAACTCAATCAATTTAGTATAAAATTATTAAAAATATTTATTCTTCTCATTATTTTTCATTTAAGTTTTATTATTTTTCTCATGCTATTATAATTACTATTTGAATAAGAATTTTTTTTTCTCTTTTATGATAAATAAATCACTACCGAGCTTATTTGAACTCGTAAAATTAAGCTAATATGAAGCTCGAACTTAATAATTAACCAAGCTCAAGCTCAAACTCATGTCCTTTGATCATATTCAAAATCTATAACACTCCATCAAATAGCTTATATTAATACATTCGATCATAGACTGTTCCTTCAGCCTATGCTGAAATTAAGCGGATTTAGACTCGTTGGATTTGTCTTGATAAAATGCTTGATCCTCGACTTAAAATTTTGAAGTTTATTATTGTTCTTTGAATGTTTGATTTGAACTTATTTTGCTTTGGCTTTGAATCATGATTGGATCACTTTGAATGTCACTGGTTTCGTAAATTTTTTTGTACATATTAAGGGATTCGAGAGCAGGCGAGATCCGGAGAAATTTTACTTATGTCGACCAACTGGCCAGCAACCCAATCTCGAAAGTTTTTAATTCAAGTATGCATTGAGATTTGTACCTAATTAAACTTATTTTTTAAGAAATATGAATTAGTAACCAAACAGCTAATCAACAAAGCAGAAATAGTTTGCCATTATGTGTGGATACTTCAATTAAAATTAATGATTATGTGGAACAGTTGTAATTATTAATTAAATTAATTATATATATCCAATAACAGATAATCAAATTTAGAAAAATTTATCAAAAGAGTTTGATTTGATTGAGGTTTTTTATTTTAATTAAATAATGCATAATTTTATTAGATAATAATTATTTATAAAAAAAATTGTAAAGCTGATGTGTGAAAGTAATATTTTATAAAAAATTATGGCGAGCCTTATAACTTTTTTAGTTTTACAACAATCACACTCTAATAAATTTTATTGTAGAAAATAATTTATCATTAAAAAAATATTTTTGATAAATAACAATAAAAATGTATTATAGCTGCTCCAAAAAATCAAGAGTACAATTTTAATATTTTTTTTCATTATTGTCCTTTTCAAAAACTGCATAATTATTTTTTTTTATTATTATTTTCTTGTTTTTTGAGAACAAAAAATAACTTTATATAATTAAAAAGTATTTTATAATCAATAATAAATATATAAAAGTTGCATCTTATTAATATTAAAATATACTAAAAAATATATGAAAATTATAATAAGTATATTTTAAACTACTTGACGGCCTTGACCGCGGTCCAGATGTGTCCAAGTGTGAGGGCCACGACTCACAAGGGGGAGGGGCTTGACCACAGTCTTGCGGCGTGTGCGATGCGCCATGCCTGTGTGGGGTAATTAGACGTTAGGGAAAGGCCTACGCCAGCGTGCAGGTGTACCCGAGCACTCGAGCGAGTTAAGTTGCATGCAAAGCGGAAGTGCGGAACACGGAAGGGGGCTTGACGCGGGTCAAATCGAGTTGATTTTGGGTTGCCAAGTAAGCCCGAACCTGATCCATTTTTTAAACGGGTGGTCAAATCTCAAATCTAAACCCAACCTTTTTGTTAAACGGGTTGATCCGAACAATTTACTTTTGTACACCTTTTCCAGTCATGAGCAGAAGCTCATAATTAGCTCAGGAAAAAAAAAAATTCTGCTCAGATTAAGAACTCTTCAAAGTACAATCAAAACGATGACATCCGCAAGAGCAAGTTTATTCTCATTAACATACATTACAACTCTTCCGGCAGAAGCCTCGGGAGTCCTTAGAGCCTAACATATAAACTGGATTCTTACTGCATTCCCCAAGCGCAGCCCACTTGGAGCAGAGCTCATTCTCGTCAACACATTTTCCGCCCAGGCTTCGTTTATTTGGCTTATCAAATGATCTCACATGAATCCATTTTGTTGCAGACCACTTCTCGCCTTCTATTACAGGGCAACTTCCATGCAGGCTTCCAGGATCCGTCGTTGCATCTAGATGAAGGCTGAAGAACAGCAGCGCATCACCTTTTTCAGGTTTCACTGCAGGAGTTTAATCAAGAATAAAAATTGCATTATATGAGGATGATAAGACAAAATATTCAAAGTTATAAGTTAACTAATTAAAGTTAGAAGACAATTCACTTTTTTGTTAAGATAATAATCCATGGTTTTTTTTTTTTTTTTGGCTTAAATGTCATAAATTTGTCCCACATAGTGGGACAATGACTTTTTTTTTTCCTACATATAAATTGCAGTAATTGTGGGACAATGACTTGATGTTGCTGTTGTACCCCACTATGTTGGGTCGGCTACATGAATCCTTTTTTGCCATTGTGTCCGGTTAGAAGTCAATTTTTCGTTTAAATCTAATAAAGAAAGATCATTTCTAATATTTTCTAATCAAGTTTTTTCAGGTCTACCTCCAGATACAAAATTTGCATACATATCACTTTATAGCATCTTATTTACATATCTGACTCTCAAAACTTCAATATTACATACATATCACCCTATATTGTTTTAATATAAAATATGCACTCATATTTCCTTCCTACCACTCATATATTTCAATTCTACGGCTCATCTTTGATATGAAAATAAACTATGAGTGGTATGTATGTAATATTAAAGTTTTTGGTGTTAAATATGTAAATATAATAGTATAGAGTGATATGTATGTAAATCTCCAATAAAATACTAAATCAAATGAGAACTAATTATGTAAATTGTAGACCTGCATAACCATTTCTGGCACAGTCAGACCAGGAGTCGTCCTTTTCTTGAGACAATTTGGCCTGCAAATGAATTGAAAAGACAAATTTGTTAAAGAAAAAAAATCATCCCATACTCTCTGTGAGGGACTAAGTGATTGCTTACCTGTGAGTTTGGGAAAATAGTTTCTCCGCCCTTAATAACATTAGATAGGTACATAAGAACAGTGGCAATTCGATGGCCACCCAGAGCTTGGTTGTTTTTGTCATGAAAATAATCATAATGGGGTTCATACTTCTCGCCATTTTCGTAATGTAGTATTTGCATTGCCTCTCCATTTTCTAGTGGTAGAATATTTACGGTTAACATGTGGTTATGGAGAGGAAAGTTACTGTAAAAGGAAATGTAGATGTTACCTTCAGGAAGAAAGGTCCATGCAGCAATCCTTCTCTCAATTCGTCCAACTATTTCATCCTATATGGTAAAATGCAAGAATCAATCATAATAAACCCATCTATAAAGCCAATACTTACAGTGGTATATCCAAAAAAATTGAGTTTTTATCATGTAGAAACAACACAATCTAGCAATTACAACATCAGCCAGATAATTTGTATCGTTCGATCTATCACGGCAAAGATCATAAACCCACAAGCAATCGTGCCACTTAATTATTATATGGGCATAGATAAAAACATGCAATCAAACAGCCTTGTTAAGGCAAATGGTAAATCGCAAACTGTGGTTTAGTTTGGGACGGCTTTTTTACTGCTTCTTAAAGCAGCTTTTTAATAGAAAAATTAAAATTTGTGTACTAGAAAGCTGCTTTAAGAAGCAATAAAAAAGTCATCCCAAACGAAGCCTGAATGTGCCATTTAGCTTGCAAAAATCAAACCATAGATGGCCTTGCAGTCCACAATAATTTATTTTTTAAGTTCGTGTTCCTGGATGATATGCAATGCCGAATATAAAACTACAGATTACAGATCAAAAATAAGGTGTACGCATCTGATCCTATAAAGTTAGATACCAAAATTTTGATTTCCAATGCAAATTTGCTTTGTAAGCCAATGTCATATTGATTCAATTTTTAATTGAGTGAAATGCTCAGAAATAATAGATTTCTTCATCTTCTTATTTTTAAAAATAGGTTTAAGGTGTCCAATCCTAGAGAAAATAGAGCGCCTAAAGACAAGAGCCGCAAACTTAATATCGCATCCAATTGTAAGTATTAGGATGGGCTTCTTTTTCAAAACTTACGGGGCTTATTTATATTGGATGCAAGCCATTAATTATCATTGTCAAACTGTCAAATCCTGTTTCAGATTTAATAAAACTGCCATTTGTCAACTGGGACTGGTACAGGACCAAATTGAGGTCATCACAGAATAAAAAAATTAGCTTTCTAACCACCTTTCTTGAATTTATAAAAATTCTAGAATCAAATTTTGAATTATTGACTTTTTAGTTTGAAGTTTTAACCGTAAAAATTTGAATTGAATTTTGGCCCGTGTCCTATCAAACATACCAAGGTTTAAAAATATGTAATTACGATATGGTATTATGATAGGAAGAGAATTTTTGGAATATTTAAATTTTAGACTTTTGAGTTTGATTTTAATTTTCATTTCGGAGACTTTATTTTAATTTTGAATTATTGAAATTTTTTAAAATTTGGAAGGAAAGATTTAGAATTTTGTAGGGAACTTTGGAAGGAGACTTTAATTTTTTAAATTCTTAAGAATTTGAAAGAAATCTTGTTTTTTAAATTGACTTTGGAGAATCTAAAATCTTGCTTATTAAATTTAAGATTCGATAGGAGGTTCACGTTTAAAATCTCTAGAATTCTAGAAACCTTAAAACCTTATTTAATTTGCATTAAATAAGAGATTCTAAAATTTGAAAAAAAAAAAAAATTTAGAAACCTTCCCATAGAATTGTGGATAAATGAGGGGTGTTTCTAAAAATAATCCAAGGGTCGCTAATCCAAGAAAAAAATGAACCCAATGGAAAAAGGATAAGCTTATGCTACAAAGGATATAAGCAAACTACCAATGTATAATAACATAAGACACTACTAAATATAGAAAGAGAAACTCTCCTCAATGGAGTCGCTAGAAAATCCACGCCAAAAATAAACATCAAATTTGAAAATTCCATTTTCAGAATTAAATATAACATAAAGAATAGGCTGCTATCTCAAAAATGATAATTTACAATGAATTAAAAGATAAAAAATAGGATTTTAGTAAGATTTCTATATTCCCAAAAAAGTTTTTGCAACTTAATGTGAGTATGAAATGATTTACTTTATTCTAGCGCAAAGGTTCCAATTTAGGGCACGCTCTAATGGTTTTACATCCCAAGAGAAGTGAGTTCTTAAGAACACTCTCAATTAAAGTATTGAGAAATATTTGTACAGTTTCAAGCTTTACATAAAGGATTTTATTTTAAAATTTTGAAGTTCCTAGAGCTTTCCTACGAAACTCTAGCCTTGCTCTCTTCATTGCAAGCAAAACCGTTGGCAAAAGTTGAGGCCATCAGAAGATTTTTGTATAAACAAAACCAAGGATAAAATAAATCAATGGGTGCATTGAAACAATCAATGCTTATGATCCCCAAATCCATTAATATCATCACCAAGGAGATCATAGATATCAATCACAAATGCCTTTTAAAAGCTCCCAATTAAAAGAAATAAGCTGAGATTAGAATGCCCAAATTATAGAGGTAAACGAGTTGAGCCGAGCACAATTGAACCTCAACTTGAGCTTTATTAAATAATCAAATTCAAACTTAATTCTATAAATTCGAATCGACTTACGAGTTGGCTTATTTATCATAAAAGAGAGACCATTATTATCCAAGTAGTTATTATAACAATGCAATAAAAATTAAAACAAGAAATGATCGAGGAGCTGGTTCACGAATCAATTGGTTAAATTAGATGGTTCAGTGCGGTTTTCTAAACCATACTAAATACCAAGCAACTTTAATATAATTTCTTAGGGATTGCAGGTAGTAAAACTCTAAACTCTAATCTATAAAGAGATTATTTACTTTGGTTTAATAGGTCTCATGATTTTGTACAGTCAATGTGAACTACCAACCCAATAACACGATATGAAAAAAGTAAAATATAATAGAAGAAAAGAAATCACCAATTCAAGCTTACTGATTGGTACAAAGAGATAAGCTCTTCAAAAAATCCTCAATCTCCCACTTGATCAAGGAGTAAACTAGAAAGAATTAGAATGAATAGCACATCCAATTGAAATTTTACTCTAAAACTAATTGATTGCGTCATACAAGACAAATACCTTTTTCTAAGAGCAAGAATAAAAATGCCTTTTCTAAGTTTGCTTTTTTTTAATCTGGGCAAGTTTAAAGGTATATAATGTGAACAATTGATCTAAACAAGCCAATTCCATCCATCAAACAAAGCAATGACAAATCCCACAACAAAATGGATCCTACATAGTTAACATTCCAAACATTCAAACTAAGTTGGCAACTTTTTTGTTAGATTTCACATGTCTCAAAAGTATCTTGGATAATAGTGTTTCTATCTAACTTCCAGATTTAATCTATTTTTATTTTATTTTGAAGAGCACCAAGAGATCACCATTGCCCTGTGTTTCTGTATAACTCATCCACATAAATGGTAGAAAATACTATATGTAGTAATCCAATAGACTAAATCATCCCTAAGAGACTCCTGTTCAAGAATAAATGGGTAAAGCATAAACGTCGAATAGGAATTTTTAGAACACATGTAAAGTCGGTAAAGAATTTCAACATGGTATATCATTTGAACCTGAGAAACATGATCCTGCGCAACATAAGCATGACACAGGGCATTCCTTAGATGCAATTCAATGGGAAACAATAAGCAAATCAACATTGGATAAGTAAAAAAGAAAGAAAGAAATTTCCGATGAAACAAATATGCCTCAAAGAATACCAAAGGATCTGTTGCAGAAGAAACCATCCGCAAGAAATTTAAAAAAAAAAAGGATAATAATTTACCTGATGTTTCTCGAGAAACATGCCCGAGCTCGTCCGCACCTCACTCATCACGCTCTTTCCGGAATCATTATCCGCAACCATAGATTTCTCCAATTTATCCCTCGCCTGCACCCACAAAAAAGCCAATCTGAGTCACAGCACCCACACATGAACCCCCAAACACGAACAAAGAAGAATATCTTCTTCTCACCAGAACAATCATGTGCTCGCATTCTTCTTCGGATAGGAATCCCTTATACAAGAACGCCCTGAAAGACGCCCCGGATAACACTAATCAGAAACAGAACGCGGAGAATATGGATAAGCATTTGAAGATGGCGAATCCCGTACCTCGGTTTCCAAGAGAGTTGGACGACTTTAGTCGGGTCGAACGGCTCCGGATCCGCTAGGCCGAGAGCTCCACCGCCGAGCCCGGATATGAAGAGGAAAGTGGAGAGAACAAAAACGACCGGGTGGCTAAAAACCATGGCCGCGAAGCGCGATAGGGTTTGCGAATGTAGAGAGAAGAAAAGCGAACTGCGATGGGGGATGAATGGAGCTTCGTCTTCTTTTCAGATCTGTAACGGAATTTTTTTACCAGAGATACAATTTGGAATAAAAAGGAAATGGAAGCCGGCAAGATTTCCAACAGTTCTCGGTGATTCTCTGGGAAAAAAGTCCGCCTATTGGAAATTGGAATTCCGCGGTGGACTTTTGTAACCGAAAGGAGATAGGCCTTTTTAACTTCGAAGTCCTATAGAAATTATTATTTGCAAATTCTTTTTCTAAGAAACGTTTATTTTAAATGTTCGGAGATAAAACTTACCAATTTAAGTTTTACATTAATTTTAAATAATTACAAAAAAATACCTTGTAATATTCGGCAAATTACTGCATCCGGTCACCGGACGCCGAGATAGGTCCGGATATTAATAAAATATTATTTTAAATTAAGCGCAACTAAAGTGCAGGTAAAGTGCAGGTAAAGCGCAAGTAAAGCGCAGATCAAAGCGCAGTCAAAAGCGCAGGTAAAGCGCAGCCAAAGTGCAACTAAAGCGCAAGTCAAAAGCGCAGGTGACGTGAAATATTTTTTTTAGATGTCCGAACCTATTCTCCACGTCCGGTGACCGGATGCAATAATTTGCCGTAATATTCGGTAGCTCTCAGAGCTTCTCCAGCCGAACTGCAGTCGCGTGTATGGAGTGGCTTTTTGCTCCAATGGATCACCAAAAAATACGCCAATGGCATGAGGATGAACAGTCCGACGCCAATATTGGCGTCGGACTGTTCACCTACGCAAAAAAAAAATTGCTCTATTTTTCGCTTCGCGGTAAAGACGTGAAACAAGAGAGCGTGGGAAAGAAGAAAAATGGAGTTCCATTGGAGATGAATTGCGACATTTTGAAGTTTTCCGCCATTATAGAGTGACAAATGGAGTCTTCGGTTGGAGATGCCCTCACAAATCCCACTCCAAATTACTGAAACCATAACGCCATGTTATTTTATTTTTTTTTCTACACCAATGATCATTCCCTTGGTATATCATCATCATAGTTGGCCGCCGGCACCACCGCCAAATTCAACACCGCTACTTGCACCTGCACCACCACCAAAGACACCGACCCTCGCCAGCACCCCCCACCTACACCACCGCCAATGCCACCGCCTCACCAACACCACCACCAATGACGCCACTGCACTGGCACCTCCCCCAATTCCACCAATACCACCATTTCCGCCACTCGCACCAATAACACCACCACCACCAATGCCGCCAACAGCACCAACACACCCTCCTACTCCAGCACCACCAACAACGCCCCCACCCGCTCTAATACCACCACCTACACCTGCAACATCACCTCAGCCAATTCCACCCCTACCGCCAACAATGCCACCACCCGCACCTACACCGGCACCCCCACCCGCTCCTCCACCAACCACACTACCTCCAGGGGCCCCACCTGCACCACCACCTCCAACGCCATCACCACCAGCATTATCACCCACGCCCACACCACCACCTGCACCAGCACCCGCAGCACCACCCCCTCCCGCACAGCCACCTCCTCCATCCGCAACGCCGCTAGCACCCACCACCCCTCCAATCACCCCAAACCCTCCAACCGCGCCGATAGCTTTCTCATTATTTTATTTTTCAAATCATAAATAGGCCTGTGTTTAGCTACTGCTTAATGCAGCTTTCTTGTTGCTTTTTAGAAGTATCTGCATTGTGAAGCTATTTTTTACAATCAAATTATTACTGTGTGGTAGCTTTAAGAAAAAAGCTGCTTGACTTTTTTTTTTTATAAAATTTCTTCGTAATATATATAAAAGCTTTCAAAATAATTATTTTTCATATAATAATTTATCAAACATCTTTATAAAATGTTACAGCCGTCTCAAAAAATTTTGAGATTTTATAAACTTTTATACATTTACTTATATGATATACAATTCACCTTGGTCTGTTAGCTGAGAGCTTAGGTTACCGGCTAAAAGATTTTGAGTTCGAATTTTATGTATGTGCTTTGTGTGTGAATCTGTCTTAATTGGCAAAAAAAAAATTATATGATTGATTGATTGACTCGTTATATTATATTACATGAAATGGTATATAATATTTAAAATATATATATATATATATATAATTTGGTTAATAGGAATTGAAAATTTTAATTTTAAATATTGAGAGAATAAAACACTATAGACATTAAGTAAGTCGCCATGCATGCGTAAGAGAATGTTAAGCAACAGCTGCAAGCATTTACTAACAAGAAATTAATGCATATGATGATTATGAGTTGCTATGTCATAGAATTAGAGGAGGGTAGTTGGCCTTTTCAACCATAGAGATGGGACCATATATATAAATATTTTTGTGACAATTAAGTCTTTTCTCAACAACCCTAATTTTTTTTTGCATGAACTTATGTGGGTTAGTACTTATGATTAGAAAGTTTTTTGGGGCAATTTTTTTTTTTTTATATAAAAATCACATGTAGAAATCTCTTGCATTGATATTTTTGTATTTATATTTATAGTTGGATAGAGAGTTGGGTCCAAAAGAGGGGAGAACTTATTCTGTGTGGATGCCGAACGTCGTCCATAAATCAACCATAATGCGTCACGTCACCCATTTCCTCGGTACAGCTGACATGGCGTATTCTAGTTGATCTTCAGAATGTATTCAATATCCGCACAACATAATTTCTCCTACAAGAGAAATAGCATGTGTAATTGCATCTCTAGAATCAAATAAATTTTAATATTGAGAAAAATATATCTATAATATTTATCATCTACATGGCATATACAAGTGTATCTTGTATAATACTTATCACCTATATCAAATCTCACAACCTTGACTTATTTTTCAAATTACTTATCTATTTTTGCTTTTAAGAAATCCAGTGCTTCAATTTTCTGCTAGAGTAAATAGGGGTAGGTACATATATATAGTGGTAATAATAAATAAAAGTCATGAAATATTTTATTAGACCAAAAAGTTCATGTCCGCATAATAAGTATTTATATGTATGATCTCTAATATGCATGTATTTCTTCTTGTTAATAAGGCTAGAGAGGGAGTTTAATGTACACTTGAATTATGGAGGTTAACCTTAAAATCTAAAGGTTTTCATTTGAGTAATATCTAAAACTTATTGATTGTATTTTTAGTAGTAATAGATCTAGTGGAGAGTTTGTGATTTTGGGCGATCAAGTCATTAATAAGAGTACACATTTTAGATATATTAGATTTATTATTCAAAGTGAAGGTGAAATAGATGGGATATTATTAGTAGAATTCAAGTTGGATGGCTAAAATGGAGAAATGCATTAGGCTTGTTTGTGTGATAGAAAAGTCTCCCTCAGCCTCAAACTTAAGGGAAAATTTTATAATGTGGTTGTGAGATCTGCAATGCTTTATAGTGCAGAGCATTGGTCATTAAAAGAGAAGCATAGTATTAAGTGTTGCAGAGATGAGGATGCTCATATGGATGAGTGGCTAAATTTCTCAACTCAATTACATCCATCTAAATCCTTATAATAAAACTATAAAACTATTTTTTTTTAATCCCTATGAGTACATTACAAAATATAGTTGGATATTTTATTCTAATTAGTTATATTAATATAAATAAAATTCATATGGAATAAATTTTACAGATCTATACATATTATCTTTAATTATGTCATTAATAAATTTTAATTATATAATTTTTATAATTAAGAGTAATTTAACTCATTCCTAATCATACAAATTCATATCAATCACATGGATATTAAATTTTATGCTCAATAATTTAATTGTAAATTATTTGCATACTCTATTAAATTTAGGGGGATTTACATACATAGCACTTTATTTCATGATATTTACATATCTAATACAAAACATTAATATTACATGTCTATCACACAGTACAAATTTGAGTGCATGAAATGAAATATTAAAATTTATAGAATGATATGTGCGGTAATAATGAAATATATAAATGATATATTTCATATTAAAATTGTATATGAATGATAGACATGTAATATTAATATTTTGAGTATTAGATATACAAATATTATGAAATAAAGCGGTATGTATGTAAACCCCCCTCAAATGAAATAAGACTCATATAAATATCAAAGTTATAACTTAATTTTAGGGAACTGAAACTGCAACACTATTTATATGATAACTATACGATAAATTTTATGAGGTAGCAATTCATGGCAGCATCAAAACAGTCCAATGAACAAAACACAGCAACTAAAAGGCACTTAGAGATGTAAACAATCAACAAATAAAGCATGGAAGTCGAAACTCTAAAATCTAGCAGTATACACAGGGAATTGACAATAGATACAGGTAAGGGAGGAAGCTGAGGAAACCCATTACATATGATGCTTTTTAGTACTTTCCAAACCCATGGAGACAATAAAACAGCGAGAAGGGGAGATTACTATTTTGCAATAGACTGGAAATACATTCATTACCCTTAGCAAAGAAACCTTATCAAACGATAGCAATATCTCAAATAGCCTTCTTTTTTTTTTCAGATTCTTAACTAGAAACAAGCATGCAAATGGATACCTCAGTGCCATCACCACTCACTCCATTGCTAGGCAAGATTTCCCCTTCCGCGGCCGGCCGCCGCCCTACCTCTTCCGCGGACATAGCCTCGCCCGCCAGCTCCCCGGCCTCGTTCATATCCGGCACCTGTACGTGCGGCGAAGAAGAGCCGTCGTGAAATGAGAAACATAGGCTATGAAGCAGTTGTATAGGAGTTGGTGTACTCTGGTTAAGAGAAGCTATTGAATAATACAAAGGCAAAAACATTTGTTGCAGAGCCTCATGAGGGCTTATAACTCCTTACTGAGTGTGACTATAATCTACGGTTGATTAAAGGGAATTTTTTACAAATTTATAATTATAAATAGATGTCTAAGATATGCACAAAAAACTCCAATAAGATAATATATAAAATTTCTATTTGAATGTATTATTTCTTCTACTTTGGATTCAATTCCTTAAACCAATGAAAGATTTGAGGGTCTTGAGAGAGATTATCTCTTTACTTAATTGTTATTTGGCGTGATATTTGCTTTCTGGTGTATTCTCTTTTCTTTCTTCTAATTTTTTAGTTGCTTTAAACGAGTTATTGAGTTAGAAAAAAAAAAGATACAATCTAATTCACATCAAGTGCATAAATTTCAAAACATTTATGTGGCTTTCATGATACTGAATTTCTAGTCACTATTTCTAATAGGACATTGAATTTTTTTGATTGAATTGATTACCATTGTGTTTTTCATTTTCATTGAAGACACTAACAAACTGTTTAAGATTAAGAGATTGTGTTTACCAAAATTTTCATACTTCTTGTATATTTTTCACATCTAATATTAGATTTGCATTAGAAACCCAATATCTTAAGACAAGCTACATCAGTTATCTTGGATTTACCCATTTTCCCCTTGATCCATTTTCCACTGGATTATACAATCTAGTTTTCAATATGAGAAAATCCCATAGCTTCTCTATTTAAATCACTAAGCAATTCTATTCTATCTAGTAAAATCAAATTAGTGCATTGTTCTCAAGAGGTTAAAATATTTAATGCCTCCAGCGCATGGTAACGTTGGGACTAGCACCTTGGCATTAGTTAACGTTTCTTTGTAGCACCTATCACTAAAATAACGCTGATCTGATCTCTCAAATCCACAAATGAGTTAACGTCTCCTTGTAGCGCCTATCACTAAAATAACGCTGATCTGATCTCTCATATCTACTAAATCATTTGCTAAGTAGAAACTACAAAATAGCTCGCCACTTAATGCAGCTGCAAGTAAAATGGGGTGAAAAATCCAAAAAAAGTATATTATTCACCATCAACATGGACATAATCTGCACTAAAGAAATTTCAAAACATTTGATCCAACAAAACTTGGATTGGAAGCGATAATACTTTGAATGGTACAACACTCGCTGACAGAAAATAAGGACATTAGGGTGAATACGAAAAATTAAGTTTATGTTGCGGCCAATTAAAAATGCAAAGATTTCAAATAAACATGTAAGAAAATCGAGTTCCATTTAACCACTTTCTGCATATCTCTGAATGCTTAGATCACAACTTCTAACTGGGGTGAGTCCACAAATCTTCAAATTTCAAATTAAACAAGCTAGTGGGAATACCCGTCAATCTCCTCCACACCCCCGAACAATTTCTGAGGGATAGAAACGAAAGGAAAAACAAAACACAAACAAGAATAGCAACTAGCATGCTGTGAATTATCGCTGTGAAAAAATGTAGAGCTAATAACAGCGATTAACTAGTAGAGTTTGGGTAGGTATTAGAATACCGTGACAGTCATGACAAACCATAATGATCTTTATATGCAAACAAACGTTCATATCCACGTTTCTCAAAGTACCTTTCCGGGGTTTAAAAAGCTTTAAGGTGAAAAAAGTGACAGAATACAACAAGAATAGCAATAAGTTGAGAAAACAAAGGATGATTTTTATATTAATGCTCCAATACAAAAATAAGATATAATGATCTACACATCAGATCATCTCTCCCGCTAAACCTAGATGCCACTAGAAAGCGCTCACCAAAAAAAAAAAAAAACACTACAGGAAATAAAACTCAAATTCTGCATAAAACAAAATAACCATAAACTTCCCCATCTCCTTAGCCTCCTTTCCTAATATATTTCCCTCCTAATTCAACCTTCCTGCTTAAATTAATTCCCTCTCTTATTTGAATTTAAATTAAAAAATTCCTTTCCTAATTAATCCCCTCCTAACATAAATAATTAGATCCATGTTGGACCCCACCAAATCAACTGCTGCTGGGGCTGCTGCCTCTGCCTCCGTATCAAAATTATCCTCATTATCCAAGCCATAACAAACGGGAAGTTAGGAAATTTTCATCCTACAGAATCCAGTATGTATGGATCAAACCCTTCATTGTATTTCGTTGCAAGTGATGCTCTGACCATTGAGGTGAAATTTTGTTCACAACCGGTTTTCAAAGTGCAATTAAATCACTCGCTTTTAACATCATAGGAAGTGCCTAACAGACAATATATGTACACTTAAAACTAAGGCATTATGTGAATTGTTACAAAATATATATATAAATAAGTATGTGTGCACATTTTAATAAAAAAAATTGACTTATTTCTTGTACCCAAAAACGACAATCAGAGTTGAAACAATAAATTGCAAAGGCTAACTCTCCGCGATTTCAAATTTAAGGCATATGGAAATGTAAGATAAATCAGTTTTACCATTGAGCTTACCACGATAATCCCAGCCTCCTCTTCCACGGCCACCACCACGACCCCAATTATTATTCCAGCCACCGTTTTCTGATACAAAATAATGGCAATTAAGATAAACCATAGAGATTTACAAAAGCATGCTAGTTCACTCAAAACAATCGCGTAGCAGAGGGAATTGGTTCTTTCCTCCAAATTTAGATTTCTTCTTTTTGAAAGTTATTCCGTGATGCTTTGAGGTTCAATTTTTAAGAAGTTGTACTTGTCTTCTATGCCACAATTTTAAGGGGGTGCATTCTTTATGAGATAAATTAAACATGGAGTTGCTGAGGGAACAAAAGAAGAATGTGCTGTTCTTAATAAATTCTTTAGTCTTTATGCTAACAAAATCTTATTTTTTTCTATTAGCAAGCATGCAATGAAGATTCCTCCCTTTTCACTTCCGACAAATATTCAAATTAGAGAAGTGCACTAACCATTATATAAATTAAACAAATATACAGTAAACAGCCAAAGAAGAAAGGTGCTGTGGAAACCATAAGGTAACAAATGAACAATATTATGATTGAACACAACAATTCAAAACAGTTAATAACATAACTACTGAGCTTTGAACCTCCAGCTTAATGGATCAAGTGACAGAACCATGAACATAATCATATTATAGTGGCAATAATCATAACAAACAAACCAAAAAAATACCTTGGTGATTTGTATAACCTTGGTTGTTTGAATATCCTTGATTGTTTGCATAGCCTTGGTTGTTTGCATAGCCTTGGTTGTTTGAATATCCTTGATTGTTTGCATATCCACCATATCCTCCATAACTTCCATATCCACCATATCCACCTCTTCCCCAACCCCTACCTCTTCCTCTACCTCTGCCACGTCCTCGGCCATATGAATCTTCGCACCAAACAAAAACATCAACAGTTAAATTAATCACCAAATTTTGAAGAAAGTAATCAGCACATTAAGTTCAAAAAGATCCCTAATGAACAAAACTTGCACCATCAACAATGCCCACCATCATTAAATTGAGCTGGTGGTTGTCTTGGCTGCTGCTGTTGATGATAATATTGAGGTTGCTGATATTTCTGTAGTTGTTTTGGCTGTTCTACATGTAAGGGGGGCTGATACCTGAAAAATAGATAAATCTTACATTATTTTCTATATACATTTCATACCAAGAGAGAATACTGTTAAAAAAGACTAGAGAGATCATTTCTCAATATCATAAAAAAGCGTGAGTTACCAAATGAATTACCCAGGAGAATTCTTGTTCACCAGCCTGGTTGAAAGAGAAACTGAAATCATTGAAACATGCCTAGTCATTTCCAATCTGCATGAGAGAAACTTAAAGATTGTAGAGATATTTTTTACTCGGCCTTCAACTAGGTTGAATTGGTTCTAAAGAGGAGAAACTTACGGTACAAGACCCTCCTCAATTGGTTCCCAAACATCAGTAATACTGACTGAGCTAATACTAGTATCTTGGTGCAATCCAGGAATCCTCTTCTGTACTCAACATAATAGGTCAGCACTCCCAAGGAATTGTTATCGCATGGCAAAAAACAGTTATAAAAGAATCAATGCATGACTATCACCAACCTTTATAATCTCAGCAATCGCTACAGCTTTGCTTATTGCCTGTCCCATTGCCTTCAACACGATTTCTCTTAAATGTTTTTCCTGATTGATTGTTTTCATAAGAACAAAGAGAGAAAATGACTCATTCAGAGATACTGAAGCACAGCATATAATGAAATAAACAAAGCTAAATAAGTTCAATATAAGAGAACAAGCCTGAGTATATTTCATATTTGATTCAATACAAAGTACATCAACTAAATAAAGTATGATAACCCATAAAATAAAATCTGTAGAGACAAAATCCATTTCAAGGGTAGAAATATGAAAAGTATACTGGATACAATTTTAAATCTGTGAAGCACGCACCTAATTTTCAATAATATAAAAAATAGTGAGGCTATCATAAGAAAAGTAAATGCTTCAAAACTTCAACACTAGCGATAGCTCTACTATGCGTAAGCCAACGCTTTTTAGCAAAGTTTCATTTGAATCCAAAGCACAGACAGCTTCTACTGCAGAAAAAAGAATCAGTAGCACTTAAGCCAGATAACACTTGTTAGCCTAACCATCAGTCATTTACAAAAAAGGTACAAAGTCGACATTGAGTAACACAAACGCTTAGTTAGTATTGCATGTAAGAGATCCCTTATCACACTAGTATATTTATGGAAACGGAAACTGGGTTGATTCAATAAAGACAAACCTAGTAAAAGGATCCTTAGCCAACCTCTTAACATCATGATAAAAAACCACAATAAGAGGCTAAAATAGATCAAGTTGGTATCAAAGCACCGACACTAAGAATCGCATCAAAAGCCAAGAGAAGAGCTAGGCAAAAATAACTAATCAATGGCTACCAAAGATTCTAATTGGACAACAAAAATTCTACACTAAATTTAGCCAAACAACTGGCTAGCTTGGAAGAGCAGATGATCATAATGGAGTGGATAAGGATACAAACAACCAACATTGCAACTAGTAGGCCAAGCATATTCTTCCTCCTATCGTGATAGATGTAAACATGAATGGAGCTCATGAACGAAGGATTCAATAATTCTAAGTAGGAGCCATAGTAGAGATTCTTACTTATGGGATCGGTGATGGAAAGAAACTAGATACATGAATTGACCAGTTTGAGACTTCACCATAGAGAATTCACTATGTATAAATATAACACACAAGATAAAGGCCTTTATCGGACTGAAGTTAAGTCATCATGCCCTAACCCATTGAAATGTCAGCCTAAAGATGAATGTACATAAAGAGGTGACTTGGGCGATGTTCAAGCAACTAATACGCCAGAAGTTCAACTCAATTTCTTATCTAAAAATTTGGTAAAGAAGTGGCATAATACATAATTTGAGGCATCCCCAAAGATAATCTGTATTATTACACCATAAAGTTGTGAGATCGGACAGTCACTTCGTGAGTAAATCTTTAAGGACGCACCTAACGAAATACACCCCAGAGCTTTATTCACAAATTGCATATGAATTCTGCTTGTTCCTAATCACAGATTTCAATTAGATCGCTATGATAACTTTCATAGAATACATGAACCAAGGCACAAGGGCGAAGACTCTAGAATCATCCGAAGACGGTTCATCCTCCAAAAGGAATAAGGAAAAAAAAAAACATTAACGACCCTGCAAAGCCAATCGCTAAAGTAAGTTTTGTGATCACCTAGCCACATCAAAGAAAAATGCTAGAAACAAAACCCCAAAGTCCAAACTCTTCCCGCAAAAGTGGATGAAGTATGAAAAAAAGTGTTGTTATGGAGGGCAAAATTGGGCTGAGTTCAATAGACAAGTAGGACCTCTATCTCTATCCTAATAACAACGCCAAGGAATATAGTGGTCAGTCATCCTCCAATATGGACATGTGGGATGAGTCATTCACCATAAGATTATAGGTTAAGCAAGAGGTGATCAAAGCCATGATTAACACCAGCAGCCAAAAGAATCTCATTTTTGTCAAATTAATGTAGAAATTGGGGTTGGACACTCTTAAACAAATCCAAATTCTTAAACTTTTGGCTAGATTCAGAAAGGGGGAAGAGATGAAGATTGATTACCACTGTAGATTGAAGTTTACAAAACAACAAGGACTATATTGATGAGATGATATGCAATGTAGTTCTGCTTGACATCTATCAAATCATCTTCAACTACTGATACCTTCACAAAATGCACACAATACTATGCTAATGACCTTAAGAGTGCCATAAAAGGAATGGAAGGCCTTTTTGTTGAAAAAAGACTATAATGTGTCATAGTAACAATAGAGCAAGCAGGAAAAATATCAATGTAAGCCAAAAATTTTGGTTGATGTTGGCCTGCTAAAGAATAAAAGGAGCAAGCATGCCCTCTCTACGTTGGGAAAAAAAGTAGGTGACATGCAAATAAAGAAGTTGCATAAGAATAAAGAAATACTAATCATATCCAACACATTGCTGCCAAATATATCAATGTATTGAAACTCAATCATCAAGTTTGATTCTACAAAAGTGAAAACAATCAAGGAGTCACCAAGACTCTATAAATTTAAAACAAAGTGTACCTTTGATTACCCAAAGACATGTAAAAGGAAGAAATATTTATCTTCCAAAAAGCAATGGAGCAAAAGCTAGCATTGGATAATCCTCCATTATTGAAGCCTTGAAGGAGCTTGAAGAACCAATCTCTTGCTAATTCAAGCAAGAAAATGATAAGTCAATGCCTAGAAAATTTTAACAAGCACAAAGAAACACATAGGGTATGACTTTGGACATTTGTAAGAGGTTTCTGAAGTTACAATGCAACCAAAACTCCCAAAATAATTTTATAAAAGCTACTAAAAGATTAGTTGCCAAAACCAGCATAGCAGGTATAGCTATGCCTTACCCCTCCTTAAATTATGATTTCACAACAGTGAAATCCTCCTAAATGAGGGATCAAATCACATGGTAAGATGCGCTGATAGAGAATACTGATGGTGGTGATTCTCACATCACACCATGAGATCAAACATGAAATCAGGCATCTGCAAGCTCAACCAGATTGTCAATTGAGCGTCATAAAAAGGTCTTCCATTCAAAACTTGGACTATTGGATCAAATTTCATATTATAAAAAGATAAAATGAACTTGAATTTTTAAATTTGTTTGGATAAATCCATATTTTAATTTACATTCATATTAGACTTGTTCCAGCAAGAATTACCATAAAATTTGAACTTACCTAGTTCGTTACTTGTAGATTAGCTTTTTATTGTGCTGCTTAGGAAGTCGATCAAAACAATTCCTATTGTATTTACATATTTATATGTATGAAACTTCGCAGAAATCAAGCAGAAATCTCTCCTAAAATCCTTCCAAATTTCTTCAATAAGTCTACAGGCCGGTGTTTTGTTTATTTCCCAACATTTTATCAAAAACTGCAGCTACAGGCCTAAACAGCAGCAAGCCACAACTAAAGATCCGAGTGTAGCAAACTGCAGCTACAGTGCGATCAATTTAGAAACTTGGCTGATGCTCCTCTCTAGTATTCAGCTTCCCGGGCGCTGTAGCTTTGCACAGTTCCCTGCTTGCTGGCTGGCTGAAATTTCTTGCTGCTAGTGCTGTATTGCTATTATTTCATGTACCGCTTGGCTAATGCCCACTGCTATATTCTTTGTTGTTTGCTCCAGCAGAAGAAATATTAACGGGATGTTTAGCAACAAGTAGGATTTCATTTTGGTAGGATTTAGTAAATCCTATAAATTCAAATTTAATAATTCCTACTACAATTAAATCCTGAAAACTGTTTGGCAACATAAGTATTGAATCATGTGAACTGTTGCTTCATTAAAAACTCAAATTTAACTTGCATTTTTAATACAAGTTACTTATTCATTTTTTATTTTAATTGCCATCAATTACAATTATAAATAATATAATTAGAAGCTAATTTAATTATCAAAAAACTTAACTAATAATATAATTATTAATTATCTAATATTATCTAAATTAACTAACAATATAACTTAAGGATATTAACTAGTTTAATTATCTAATTACTATTATAAATATTACTAACTTAACTAATAATATAATTACAATTACTATTTAGAATAGTTATCTAATTATTACTTAGAACATTAATCATCTAATTAATTATGTAATTATTATTATAACATTAATTATGTAATTAATTATTTAAATTTATATTTATATTAATTAAATTACTTAATATGAATTCCTAACTAATTCCAATCTACGATTTGCCTCTTCTTTTTTGATAGCCTAAATCATTTCTACGGTTTGCCATTCTCTTCTCCATTTCTTCGTTGTCGGTTGACTATGAGGTAGTGTGTTTTGGATGAGTCGATAAAAGGCTTCTTCACCTCCTTCAACAACAATCCTTCCTGCCAAATTAGAAGTCTTGATAGTTTGTCTCTTCCTATTGGATCGGAAGTAACGATGGGAACTTGCCAGCTACAAAGGAATCATTTTTCTCCCTTTTGCGTGCTTCTTCAGCCAAATCCCTTAAATCCACCAAACTCCAGGATTTAGTAAATCTGGGATTTAATGCAAAAAGAGGGAAATGGAGGATTTATTCCGCCGTTAGATTTACCGGCCACTCAAATTCCGTTTGGTAGGATTTCACATAAATCCTGCACAAATTCTACATATATCCTATTGCGAAACAGCCCCTAAGTGCTGCCCTGGAAACATTAGCAAATGCATCAAGCATTTTTCCATGGAATCAGTCACAAAAAAGCAAACCTGAATGCTATTAAAGTAAAACAAGAACAGAGAACAGCACTTTGCTACTGTCCAGAGAGGGAATATAATAAAATAATGTGAGAACTTGCTCGAACAGGAAGTAGAAGGCAAGAAGTCATCGATAACTTGAAATAGTGCTTCTGAACTTTAACGGATTGAAAAATCAAATAAATACAGAGCCCCAAAAATAATTAAATTAAAAAAAAAACCTCAAAACCTTTTATAACCATTCTAACCTTCCACTGTGTGCTTACACAATAACATTGAGAGGTAATATTGAATCACCTAAGGTCATGTTCCACGTTCTATAGAAAAATACAATCCGCAAGAGAAGTATTTATCCATATTTTATTCA